ATTCGTTTGGATAAATTAGTATTCGTACATTTGGACTAATTAAATATTCTTCGAATGATTTTGTTCTTTGTCCGGACAAATAAGATACATATGTATTTGCTTTGACCAGTTAGAAATCTGTTTGGACAACTTAGATATTTGTTCGAACAAATAGAAATGTGTTTGGATAAACTGGATATTCCCTCGGATGAAAAAGAAATTTGTTCGGACGAATTAAATATTTTTCAGACGAATTTTTCTTTGTTCAGACAAATAAGATACATGTATTTGTTCAGACCAATTAGTTTGTTGGGACAATTTTCTACCTTTTAAAATTCAGACAAATTTCATATTTGTTCGGACGAGTTAGATATTTGTTTGGATGAATTAGAACTGATTAGACGCTTTAGATATTTCTTCAAAAAAGAAATTTCTTTATGTTCTCCAGTGTAATTTCACAAGTTCACTGAAGCTGGTTTTTTTGCCCATACTTAGAATGTCTTATAATCAATATCATATCCATATTAAAGTTGTTTAAAAAGAAATTTCATTAAATAAAATATTCCATTCTTCTGGATCAAAATGGATAGAAAATGACCTAGAAAGAATCAGGGATGTTACATATTTAATTTATTTTTATCGAGTGATTGGAATATATATCTCCTTCTCCTTTTGCTAATCAACTCCAGGTCAACCTTTGCCCTCAATTATGTAGTGTTTTTAGAAGTTTCATCTCTCCCTCCTAACCAATTTATCATTTTACGCTGAAATGCGAGTTGATAATATTTCAAGGACCTTTTGATATGACATAAAATTACGTTAAATATGAAAAACTGTTGTCTTAAAAAAACGCATTTAAACGGAATTTAGTTTTGACTCGCAATAACAATTTAATGTATGTATAAAATGTTTTTGAATTAGTTTCGAAGATACGTGCCCCTAATTTTGCAACAAGCTACATTAATATATTCTCCCTTATATATATATATAATCTCCTCTTAGCTCCAACTCTACAAGCGGTCTAACCCCAAAATTCTTGCGAGCAAATAAATTCGTCGTTCGAACAAAAAAATTATTTTTCGGACTAGTTATTAGGAAGAAATATTTTTTGTTCGTAAAGATAAGTTTAGGTGATAGGACAAGCGCGATTTACCCTCAGTCGTTCCATCCCACATGCAAGTATTTACAAACAAAATATTTAAATTCCAATATCATAATAAATAATTTAATTAATTAAAGATAACAAGAACAGTGTCATCAGTGCATAATTCGCTGATGTGTGTTCTTCTTAAAATATGTTTCTATTTCACTTATAAATTCAGTTTGTTGCATGCATTATTCTGGGTACGTTCGGTTTTACAGAGCATCATTATAGGATTATTGTTTTTTCTCTCTCTCTCTTTCCACTTTACTTTGAAGGTAAGTGGATCAAAATATTTTTGGATTGGTGTCTTCTTAATTATCTTGTACATCATTTCTAAATATTATAGGGTTTTCCAGTATGAGTTCGAAGATTAAATAGTCTAATGACTCACTTGTCCGGAGAATTGCTACATGTACTCCAAAGGCCCACTCACTGAGCCAGAAATAATCAACAAGTGGCTCAAGGGTCTTAACGGTCACCCAAGTATAACACAGTTCTGTAAAAGATCAACTGAATGAATATTTTAATAACATGAAATAAAACGAAATAGACTGTTATTATTAGTTATGTAGACACTTAGAGGGGTAATACGGAAATATATGGGGTCCTCGCCGAATCTGCATATATATATATATATATATATATATATAAAATTCCAATCTTAATTTTATTTACTTATTTCCTGTGTTTTGATTGGACGAGAACAAATTCAAGAAAAAGTTTACACATTGATAAATCTCTCAATCAGAACTATTTATTGACCTAGCTTTTATTGTAAAAAATTGAAACAACTCGTTACTTTAGTCTGTTTTAGCTAAACGATTACAGAAACTTGAAGTTAAATAAAAATAAAAAAATAAAAACTGACGAAATGCAGTACTGACAGACGGGAATATTATGTTTATGTCACTCTATCACGAGTGTGAATATATAAATCTCTGATGCCATATTATCGTCATTCCCATTACTAAACAAATCAGCTCAGTTCTCGGTGGCGCTGATAGGTTAGAGAAACGTACCTCAGACTCTTGCCTTAATACATCAAATTCATATCGCTACATCCTATATTCTGTCCCGTCTTTAAACAAACCAGAGCAAATCAAAGGTGTCGTCGGTATTCTACTTTCGTTTTAGAGCGTTTGTCGTTAATGTCAACATGGTCAAGGACGAATTCTTCTGAATTCTACTTCTATTTATGATATTTGTTAACTTAAACAATATTCAAAGATTTTTTTATAAGTTTATTTTAAATGTTTTGACAATTGAACTGTATCGATGTTCATCTCGATTACGTTTCATTTCCATATCGAGGCATAAAGTATTCCTACGCTGAACAGAAATAACGGATTGTATGTAGGCTTCAAAGAGAAATAGAACTTCGTTATTGGAATTATGAGAATTAAACGTTCCTTTTCCAGAATTCATCGATATATAAACTCATGCCTATGTACTCACAAACTTAACATGAAAGTGCTTCGCACTTTTATTCAGTTTGTGAGTACAAAGGCATGAGTTTATACATTGATAAATTCTGAAAAAAAGAACGTTTAATCCTATATATCCCAACAAAAAATCCTGGATCAGCGCATGCTTTCTAGATTCTTTTTCAGAATTAAGCATTTTCTTTCCCCCTTTCCTTCTCCTTTAAGAAATTTTACAAGTTTTGCTTCTTTATTAAAATGTGGTCTTTTAACCATTACAGTGACCTGTATGTTTTAGGTACTTGGATACATGTATTTTGAAAAAATCAAATAAGAATACTTTTAAAACTATAACTTGGATTTTTACAGATCCCAGTCTAATTTTATAGGAAGCGATTTTTGGAAACTCCTCCACATTTTATTCCTTCATTACAACAAACATTAATGTCAGAAAGTTAGCATATTAATACATATTAATAAGTACACGAATAGGAAAAAGGGTGCTGATCCCAGACTCAAAAATAAAAAAAATAAGAAAGGAGGAGGGGTGTGTGTCCATAAACCTAGTGCCTGTGGCATTGGTTGACATATGACAGATTATTGGTTAGCCTGTCAACATTATTAAAACATTTGTAAATTGGTCTTTTTTTATTTTGAGACCTACCAGCAATTCTTTGAATTCAACTATATATTTTTAAAGATGACCTTATAATATTACACCGTGTTTGTGAACCAAGATTGTTATAGTGGAAAATAGTACATGTTTTACCATTAATTCCATTACACTCCCTTCCTCCATAAAAAGATGTGTATAGAAAATCTATAGTACATATCTTGTTATATGTTTCAGATAACGATGGAGATCTTTGCCTGTGTCGTGGTAGTGATCTCGCTCGGAGTTCAAGGAGTATTTTCAGGAAGTGGTAAGAAATCTGACGTTACAGACTCTTTCGATACAGCACATGTTATTAGAACTTGTTTCATAAATTATCCTTAAAAATTTAAAGTAGCCGTTAAATTCAATCCTCTCCCCCCCCCCCCCCCTTATAATTGGTACAAAGAACGAGGGCGCTTTTGATCGGCATTCGGCACGAATCTGGGCGCACTCGAAAAGTGAAAATTTCATTGATCTGTCACATGAAATTATAGAATTCTTTTAATGTATCGGGTTCCTGTGAAATAGGAAAGGGAAATGTTTTCCCGATATTGTATTTTGATTTGCTAAAAAAGAACTTGAAAATTGGCTAGATGAGTCATTTGGTACAAAATGTTACATTTTTAAACACGTTTTTCTAAACATTTGCTATCTTTGGGTCATCTCTCCATAATATTGAAACGTTATTTGTGTACATTTCAATTCAAAGGAACTAACAAACATTTGTAAAAAATGGAGAGAATACCCAGAGACGATAAAAAATGAACTTTTTCAAAAAAAATTCCAGTGTGTAAATGTACTTCATTGTCGCTTTAAAAACCATAAAGTGTGTGTAGCGGTGATGGCTCAGTAGGATGCGTTGCCCGTCTAGTGCAATGAAAAAAGAAATATCTTTTGGTTCGATCTTCGCATGGAGCGTTAATATCTTTTTTAGTACAAAAAATCGATTCTTTTGTCTGTTTAAATTTATGCACTGATTTATTTTCAAATTCTGGTTCTGTTACACCGAAAGCGAAATTAATTCTTCCAATCTACTGATACTTTAATATATACATGTAATTGCATTAAACTGTACCCTATAAGTGTTTATTATTTATGTGAAGCGTTACTAAGTTTAATTAAGATAAGCGGACTGATATACTAAATTTGACAAAGTATTTCAAACTTTATGTAACATTTTCCCATGTGCCTAACTTTCTAAAGTATGTTCAGCTGTGGTCAGCCGACCAAATCGTAGACAATTAAACTATAAATGTTTCGTACGCCTTATTCCTGCAGATCACTCACCAGACACGCCCATCTTCATTATTATTAATTGTAAAGAACAAATAGATAAAACAATCATTTATCATTTTCACATTTTCTTTTTTTTCTCGTTAAAATGTAAACAAATACATGTACGCACATCTCTCATTTGTTTACAGTTCCTTTCTTGAAAACTGTATGATGAGTTATTCGGACAAATGATGTACCCTACATGCAATATTTTGCATTAAAATGTAAAATTTCAGCAGCTGGTATTTTTCTCATAAATTAATACAAAATTTCCTACCTTATAACTGGACAGTGATGTGCCCTTTTGGCAGGCACCATTTAATAAAAACCTGAAATATTCCGGAAAATTTGAAAATGAACCAAAGAGCAAAACACCAAAACAACATTCATTTGGAACTATACATGTGCCTACATAAATGATTTACTTATTATTTTTTTATTATTATTATTTTTTTGCAGCTATGTTATACTTGCAAAATTCTGCAATGTAGTCCTTTTCGTATAATTTCAGGAAAAATTTCGGAGCATGACTGTACGACAATCAGTTGTGGTTCTAACCAGTATCTGGATATTACATATGCCCATTATGGGATTCAGTATTGGTGTGATGCCTCTAATGAAGTTGGCGTCCTCGACGGAAGATGCTACGGAAAACAGTCCTGTGAAATCTGTGCCACTAACAGCTGGTATGGTGACCCGTGTGTTGGAACGTTCAAGTACCTCTGGTACAATTATAACTGTATAAGTAAGTCGTGAAATATACAATGAAGATTACATTTTCAAATGTAATTTGAAAGTTTACTGTATTAATCATATATTCAAAGAAATGATATACGTAATATCTAGAATACGTGCAGTACAAATCAGCTAATGTGATAATATTAAAAACAATATTGCGATAAGAGATATATTAATGTAAACCTTTTGGTTTTATTTCCTATTGCTTTAAGTAACATGATTATATACATAATATGAATCATATAGATTATTAACGATGTTACCTGTTTGTTATATAGACAATGCCGTGAATGGAAACTGGGGTGGATGGGGTAGTTGGGGAAGCTGCACCAGGAGTTGTGCGAGCGGAACAAAGTCACGGTCTCGTTCCTGCAACAACCCAGCGCCGTCTGGTGGTGGATCTGACTGTTCCGGTTCTTCTACATCATCCACTTCTTGTAACACTCACAACTGTCCCGGTATGTCATATTAATTTCAATAAAATATGTATTTACACATTCCTCTCACTTATCAATTCAATTATTATATTTATCAATTCAATTTATATTTTAAACCGAAAAGTATAAACATATACTACTAATACATTCATAAATACAGTTCATGGCGGCTATACATCATGGTCCTCTTGGGGAAGCTGTTCCAAAACTTGCGGCGGTGGAACAAAATCACGATCTCGATCTTGCACAAATCCTTCTCCTGCATACGGTGGCAACGACTGCAGCGGAGCGTCGTCAGACTCTACTTCGTGCAACACTCACAACTGCCCAAGTCAGTTTTTTTTTCTTTACCGAGAAAGACAAATAATAACAGGCCTATTGTAGAGACTCAATTTTAACATGTTTAAGGTACTCATACAGCCATTACTTTCTTTACTTCGTAGAAAAAAATCGTTCTGACATGTAAATGTATCTTGTATTTCAGTACATGGTAATTGGGCAAACTGGCAGAATTGGGGAACCTGCACAGTGACTTGTGGTGGAGGAACAAAGGTCAGATCTCGTACTTGCACAAATCCTGCCCCTCAGTACAGTGGAAATGACTGCGCTGGTTCCTCATCGTCATCAACTGATTGTAATACCCAAAACTGTCCGAGTATGTAATGTTTTGGATTTTAGAGTCGCCATGTTTCTTTGACATGTTCATTATGCGATTGTCTTTTCTTTTGACTTTCGTGTAACAACAGTTTAACACATGAAAATACACGTACTTCAGTAACAACAACAAATAAAAGAACAATATTACATGTGTATAGGCTTGATGAATATATGTAAGTCTGCAATTAGTTTCCAAATTAAAAGAAATACAAAAGGAAATATTCATGTTGAAGTCAGATAATTAAGAAAATATTTCAGTTTTGAGATGCAGTAAATTATATTTCTACCAAATTCCAGTTGATGGTCAGTGGGCAGGCTGGGGTAACTGGGGCACCTGCACAGTCACGTGTGGAGGCGGTATCCAGACAAGATCACGCACCTGCTCCGCGCCAGCCCCGCAGTATGGAGGTGCAGCTTGTCCCGACTTTTCGTCATCTTCACAATCCTGCAACACTCACAACTGTCCAAGTAAGAAATTGATTTCAAGATAATAATAGAACATATTCTGGCTAATGCCCATGAATACAAAAATCAAAAAAAAATTTACCATTGGTGATAAATTTGCTTATCTACTGATCATTTTCGCTCATGACAATGCGCGAATTTCTTTGTTACATGACAAATACAATTGAAAATGTCAACTGACAGTGTTATTGTGACAATATTATAATGATTAATACATATATGAACATATACCTTAACATTCATTCCATTTAAGTTGACGGAGTTTGGGCAGCCTGGGGTACGTGGGGGACCTGCACAGTGACATGTGGCGGTGGAACACAGACTAGATCAAGAACATGCACAAATCCAGCTCCTCAGTATAATGGCGCGGACTGCCCCGGAAGTACCGGATCCTCTCAAGACTGCAACACCCATCACTGCCCGAGTAACATGCTTTTAAATAAAGATCAAATATTCAATTAAATAAGTTTATTTTAAAGAGTATATTTTAATAAGGAAACTGCAAGAGGAATGAGCGTCCATAAATAAATGCGCGTCTATTTGTTAAACAATTATTCAAGTTAATATATAGCTAAGACTTCAAGACTACAGATATAGACTGATTAAAATTTGGCAGGAAAAAATATGATGAAAACGGCAAAAGCTTTATACTTCTACAGTTGATGGCGTTTGGGCTGCATGGGGAAGTTGGGGAACATGTACTGTAACTTGTGGAGGGGGTACGCAAGACCGATTTCGCACGTGCTCAAATCCGCCTCCTCAATATGGTGGAGCCGATTGTCCAGCGGCTTCCAATAGCACCCAGGATTGTAATACCCAAATATGCATCAGTAAGACTCCTTCTATTTTATTTGAATTTTTAAACATTCTTTTATATATAACAACAGCTGTTTAACAAAGTAATATGTTCTTCCCTCATAATATAGTTGATGGCGCTTGGGGTGCATGGTCGGCTTGGGGTGCTTGTTCGAAATCTTGTGGTGGTGGCAGACAGTCAAGAAGTAGAAGCTGTGATGACCCCAAACCAGCTAATGGCGGATTAGAGTGTTCTGGGGCGTCTGCTGACTACCAAGACTGTAGTAGTCAAGACTGTCCCACGCCTGCACCGGGGCAGTACCATCAGGTAACGTATATTTCTGGTTTCAGTGTTTCATCTTTTCATTAAAATACCGAAATACTGTAAACTAACTATTATTCGCGTCATCTTTTCTTCGCGATTTGTCAGTTTGAAATAAATCCGCGACGATTAATTTTCACGACTTAGGAAACCATATTTACAAATACAAAGCAAAATAAATTGTTCGCGGCGATTAATATTCGCTAATTAAAGTGGGTCGTGAAACTCGCGGATATTTCTCGCACGCGAATAAAAAATTTGTTTACAGTAAACGTCATTGTAATCAATAACATAGAATATAATACAAAATGATTGTTATGATTTTAACAGCTTTGTCCATCCGGTTGGTTTACGTGCAAGTCAGGTTCGATGTCCTGTATTCAGAAAGCCTTTCAGTGTGACTGTTCAGCCGATTGTGACGACGGGAGTGACGAGGATGCCACCTACGCAGGGTGTTTGAATGCGTTACAATGCCAGTCAAAAGCTAGTGTTGGTAAGAAAATCCTTCAAACTTATATCTTTTATTAATTTTCCCACTAGGTTAAATAATATATATATATAGAGAGAGATAGAGTAAACGTGCAGAAAAGAAAACCTTGAAGGCTGGATGTTTTCACAACATTTAAACTGTTAGTATCTCTTTCCTTTTTAATCATGAAGTGGAGCTGTTCTATGAAAACTCGAACTGAGAATTCGAACAATTGTTAAATCTCTCATTACAGGTCACTTTTTGTCCATAGCTGTGCTTTGCTTGGCGAGTCTCGTTGGCCGATTGATGACCATTTAAAAACCAAAAATACAACTATTACAATTATAGGACATATCTTATGTAACTTGTACTGCTTTTCTGAAGTAGTTTATTAGTAAATCATAATGTTCCTTTGTGTTGATTGCACTAATATTTTAATATGTATATCTGAACTGACATTATTGCAAACGTGAAACTGGCTTTCACTTACAAAATTCTGCAAATACAGAGGGCTTCCAAAACTTGTAATTGCTTATACTTTGCATTGTTCTCGATATGGATAATTTCTCCATGATTTTGTTTAATACAGATATTTACGCAATGAGGGACATATAGCTAACCTAATTTTTATTGGCCACATCTTACACAAGTCCAGGTATCTGTCTGTTGTTGCTTTGTGTCTTGCATGCAGTTCCGGTACATGTAAAAGGGCCCTTTCTCAATTGAAAATCGATTTTTTTTTCAAAAATTTAAGTAAAAATTCCCAAATACAAGTAAATTGAATTTTCAGAATTCTTTATCAACATCATTGGATTCCTTGATTTTATACAAAAAAATGAATGATAGGTTTAAATATCGTCTTTATTTAACAGTAAACATTTATTCCATTAATATTTCCAAGTTCTGTTACTTATTTTTTGATTCAAAATTCCCAATGGAAAAGGTACAGGACCGTTTTTTAGGTAATACAATAGAATAATACCATTCACAATAAAAAGCAAAATTCCCAGTAATTTGAAGGGATACATTATTTTCTTTACCAGGTAAACAGCAAAGATAGTGATTTTGCAGACGTTGAAACATGTGAATGTATCATCCATAAAAAGAGAAAATATCACTCATGCATGGACGTACATATAAAGTTTTAATGAAGGGTAAAGATCAGTTTCATTACAAGATTTGCAAGAGGGGTGATATTTTCCTAAGTTCTTATAAAGATACCAACCTCAATCTTTATGATCTTTCACATGTATTTCTGTTCAAGAAAAAATTGTTTATAAGTTTAAAGCTCATGTGTGAAAAAATCAATGTCATATGCAAAAATCTAAACAATATGAAGACACATATAGCTTTCAGATGATTTTTAAAAAAAATGAAATGGACATTGAATACATATATTTTATACATGGCACTACAGAGGAAACGGTTATTTCAGATTTTTTATTTATAGTTATGCTTCTATTGTTAACGTTGACAAAACCTATTTTCAAATCGGTTTTATTTAAATGAAATTGCACTAAACTTAGCTGAATTTGTATCTTTAACAGACTGAAATAAAAACTGTTTAACTTCATCATTTTGTTGTTTGGTTTCTTTGTTATTCATTGAATATCTTAAATAATTACCAAAGCAAGAGTGATCTTGGAAATTGCAACAGATATAACTATGTATAGATGCAATAGGAGAATGCGAAACACAGTCAGGTGCATTCAATACATATAGCACATTTTATGCTACCAAGAGTCTGGTTGTTTTGTAGTCTGCTAATTGGTAGAGAGACCACTTATATTATATCAAGCATACACAGAAACGTTTGGCCTTTTTCAGAAATTGTTTTTTCTTTAAAAAAATCGTTTCACAACTCACCCTTTTCAAAAGTCAATTAACCACTGCTACAGCAAACCCACTTTTTATGAATTCACGCTTACAGCAAAGTGATCTTTATTCTCCATTGTTTTAAAACATATCATGAGCTTTATAAATATTACGAATTAAAACGAATCAAAACTGTTCGTACCTGGCACTCCCTATAAGAGTGCTTTACCGTACACAAACAAAATTTATATTAAGGCACATTTTAATTTGAGAATTGAGGAATATACCTCCGTAACCACCGAAGAAAAAAAAGACTGACCTTACGAGAGAGTGTAAATCATATACGGTACCAATTTTAAGGCAACAGATGCGCATTTCGACAAATTATGTCACAGGGAAAAAAAATTATACAGCCTTCCTAGTAAACTACTCAACCAATCCCGACACTATGTTACTTCGTAGAATTGAACGTACACTTACATTATGTACTTGCATTTTGGAAAATCATATATTTTAAAATAAGTTTTTTTTATTTTTTCCCTCAAAATTATGCCTCTTTGAAACCAAAATCAAATATGACAGTTTTGGACAAAATTCCTGGCCCTTAGAGTTATGTTTCAACGAAGCAATATTTTCAGAACAATGGACATTCCCTATCTATAAAGCACAAAATCTCACATTTTCCTTCGTCACTTATTAACATTACATTGAAAGATTAGAATAAGAAATTAATGTGAAGTTTCCGAATTAAAGAATTATAATCAAACTTAATTTACAAGTATGCAAAAGTGGTCAATGCAATTAATCTCGGTTCATGCAAACTTTCTAATTAGTAAAAAAATGATCATGAGTTTGGAGTAATACAAGCTTTGGCAGTAATAAATTCCAATCTGACCCAAATTTGTATCTTATTTTAGGTTTTAATCTCTTAATTCCGATTTTAAATCCTTGCATTGAAGGGAGAAAGTTAATATTTCAATAACCTGTTTAGGACGCAGGAAGGTAACAGTATTATATTATTCAGATACTTTGAATCAATTGTCTTCAAACAAAATTTTCAGCTTTCATATGCATATTTTAAAATTTCAAAGTGCTAACTAGTTACTACCTTGGTGTATTTTTTAAAAATTATTATTATCATTTTTTTTTTTCATGAACGCGTTTGCAAAGGTACACACATAGAAGGAAAAAGAAAATTATTTTAAAATTAATGAAAAATTACTTTTTTGTATGGCAAATCGTATAATTTTCTTACAGATAGATGAAATACAATATTTTCTTATACGAACAGTAGAAAGTTGAAAATTTATTATATCTAAATTAAAGTGGTGGACACTCAGGCATATAATCGTCGTTAAACTTTTTTGATAATATTTTCCAAATATTTACCAAATTATATGCTGATACTTATTATACGTTAATAAAATGAAAAAGGGGGAGGGGATCATAAATTTAATTATTTTTATTCATTTCTTTAAATAAATGTATTGGGTATAAAAATGTTTTGAAACACCGGGAAGAAAAATCATTTTTAAGTTTATGATGTATTCAGTTTAACTGAGAAAGCTTATTTACCACCGGTTTTTAGGACACTTATAAACTTACATTTTTTTCTTATTTAGTTTTGAAAGTTTTGTTCTGATATATCAGCCTAAGGCCATCATTAATTTTTTTTTTTTTTGCATGATGTACTCCGACCCAAATTTTTCAAGGTAGTTAAATAGTTATTTTAAGTTTTATCTATTTTTTTAACATTGAAAAATGTAATAAAAGTCACAAACTTAAAAAAAGACGTTTTATTTTACACCGGACAAGTTGGCAGATGGTGTAAAATATTTTAATCTAAAAAGTGTATTAAAGAAATAATAAATCATAGCTTAAAAACAAAAAAATACCCCCCCCCCCTCAAACAAAAAAACAGACGATCTGTATTTTCCTATAAACTCAAAAAAGAATGTATTATTTAAAAAAAAATGATCGGGTAGGAACGGTTTTAATGTGTTGGTCGGAGTACATGAAACAAATTCTTTTTTAATCGTTTGCCTGAAATACTCTACAGATGAGGATGCAGGTCTTTGCCTATATAACGGTAGTGATTTCATTTGGACTTTCTGTTGTGAATGCAGGCAGTGGTAAGTTTTTTTTTAAAGATTTCAATAAAGTTGCTTAATAAAACAAATATTTCAAAACTTTTCTTTAACTACAAATATTTACAAATTATTGTTCTTTCAAATATATATTACTAAAAGGCTCTATCACACAGGTTTAGTCAGGTAGAACGTTCCATTATATCTGGTGTCAAAAATATTACATAACTTTATAATTCAGTTAAATCATACAAAAATCAAATTAAACATTAGCTAAACGGACGATTTTTTTTTTCATCGCACAGGGCATATTGGGGAACATGATTGTTACACAATCAACTGCGGCAGTAACGCCTACATCGACATTACCTACGCCCATTATGGGATCCGTTACTGGTGTGACGCTCCGAACGAGGTAGGGGTACTGGACGGCAGGTGCTATGGAAAGAGTTCGTGTTCCGTGTGTGCTACTAACAGCTGGTTTGGCGATCCCTGTGTTGGCACTTACAAATACATGTGGTTTAACTGGGATTGCAAATGTAAGTTAGGACCAAGGATTGAAAAATAAAATCAATTTATTCTTGAGTCAGATATTTAAAAATGCACTTCTATTGTCCATGTTTTCTTCAATGTAACAGCTCGTCGTGTAAACGGAAACTGGGGAGGATGGGGTGGCTGGGGAGGCTGTAATAGGAATTGTGGCGGCGGAACAAGGTCGCGATCTCGTTCCTGTAACAACCCAGCGCCATCTGGTGGTGGATCCTCCTGTCCTGGTTCTTCCACATCGTCCTCTTCTTGTAACACGCATAACTGTCCTCGTAAGTAGCTTTAAAGTCATTTATTATAATCACACTCCGAAGAAAGCTCGGATATATCTGCATGATCTATATAATGATACCGTCGCACTTCCTATTCATGGTAAAGTGGTTGCGGATAACTTTTTGCATGCGACAAGTGTAACGGACCAGTTAACCAATTTTTATAGAATGATAGCCAAAATTGTAAATAATCTTACTGCGATATTTTCTTAAATCAATATTAATATTGTATTTAAAACATAAATTATGTTGACAGGTCACGGTGCTTGGAGTGGTTGGGGTTCGTGGGGATCCTGTACTAGATCCTGCGCTAGTGGTACTAAAACTCGAACCCGGTCGTGCACGAATCCGAGCCCTGCTTATGGTGGAAATAATTGTGCAGGATCTTCATCTCACTCTGTTTCCTGTAACACCCACAACTGTCCAAGTATGAATTCAAAAAGTCGTTTTTTCTGATTTAATTTATTACTTGATTCAGTTAATTTTCAATTCAATAGGAAATCAGAAGTAGGGCTATATCTTTTGGCAAATCTACTGTAAAAAATGCTTTAAATATTTAAATTGATTCTGAAAGTTCAGAATTTAGCAGTCATTGCCAATAAAGAACATAACAACCCATTTCAAGCCGAATTTCGAAGAGATACACCTCAGAATGTGAGGATGGTGGTAGAAAAAACCTACAGAATTTTCGTATCATAAAGTATAATTTCAATCTTGAACCTGACAGGACACGGCGGCTGGAGTGGATGGGGATCCTGGGGATCATGTACCAAATCATGCGCCAGTGGAACAAAAACTCGTACCCGATCATGCTCGAATCCAAGCCCTGCCTATGGTGGAAATAATTGTGCAGGATCTTCGTCTCATTCCGTTTCCTGTAACACTCACCACTGTCCAAGTAGGTGTTCAAAAGCTGTAAATTCTATTATCATTCTTAATGCAAAGTTTCTTTGCCAGATTATTTAATCTGATTTTACATTCAGTTCACGGAGGTTATTCTGCATGGAGCGGATGGGGTTCCTGTAGCAAAACCTGTGCTGGAGGAACTAAAATCCGAACCCGCACATGTACGAATCCGACTCCACAGTATGGTGGCAACAGTTGCTCTGGATCAGCGTCCAATTCAGCTGATTGCAACACTCATCACTGCCCCAGTAAGTTTTGTTATGTTAATTTCAAACTTTGACTTGTGTATCTTCCAGTCTAATGAATTTCAAAAACAGGAAGTAGTGTACATGTATATTATTTGAAGAAAAAATATATTTATTAAAAAGTGAAAAGATTTGAGACTAAAAAAAGCAAACATTTTAGTTCACGGTAACTGGGCAGCGTGGGCTTCTTGGGGATCTTGCACTGTCACATGTGGAGGTGGAACAAAAGTGAGATCCAGAACATGCACAAATCCTGCCCCCAAGTATCTTGGAAATGATTGTGTCGGTTCTTCCTCTTCATCTACATCGTGCAATACGCACCATTGTCCAAGTGAGTAGTCATTTACCGTTTAATTGAGACGTGATGAAATAAAACACAAGAGACCTACATTGGCAGCAAGAAATATTGATAATTGACAAATTCATTTATGTGTCCAGTTGATGGAAAATGGGCTTCATGGGGGAACTGGGGCACTTGCACAGTAACATGTGGAGGCGGAATCCAGTCAAGGTCACGCAGCTGCTCTGCCCCTGCTCCACAGTATGGAGGCGCAGCCTGTCCAGACTTCTCTTCATCTTCACAAACCTGCAACACTCACAACTGTCCAAGTAAGATTTAATTAAATTATGCTCTTAGCTTCTTTTTAATATTTACTCTATGATTGTACTGTATGTATATAATGTTACAGTCGATCGTATTTTGTTTTAAGTTGATGGATCATGGGCAAGTTGGGGATCTTGGGGTACATGCACGGTTACTTGTGGAGGAGGAAGTCAAACCCGGTCTCGAACTTGCACCAATCCAGCACCACAATATGGAGGCGCTGCCTGTCCAGGAAATGCTGGTTCATCCCAGTCCTGTAACACACAAAATTGTCCAAGTAATGACATTTATTTATTTTTTGCTTCAGTTACTTCTATTACGCAAGTCTTACTATTTTGATATGAAATTAATATTTTATTGTCTTTCATGTTTAAATACTTAACTTTCATCAGTTGACGGTAGTTGGGCATCATGGGGAAGTTGGGGCACTTGTACTGTCACTTGTGGCGGTGGAACACAGGATCGCACGCGCGCATGCACAAATCCATCCCCTCAGTACGGTGGAGCTAATTGTCCTGGAGCTCAAAAAAGCACCCAAACTTGCAACACGCAAGTCTGTATCAGTACGTTCTTTCTTAAATGAAATATCTTCAAAATAAATGACAATTATCCTCAATAAAAGTTATCATGGTTGTATAGATTGTAATGAAAAGGGTACATAATTAAGATGAGCATATTGAAAAAAAAAAATCCTTTTATATTATCAGTTGATGGGGCTTGGGGAAGTTGGCAACAATGGGGATCCTGTTCAAAAACCTGTGCAAGTGGTAAACGATCGCGATCAAGAGTTTGCGACAATCCTAAACCAGCAAACGGAGGTTTGGAGTGTTCAGGATCATCCGGTGACTTTGGTGACTGTAACACACAGGACTGCCCAACTGTAGCCCCAGGCACTTATCAACAGGTACATGTAGTTTGTAAAACTTTCAATCTTTTTTTTCATAAAAGTTCAAAGACTGATTCTTTGTCAAATACATAGAATGCTTGGGTGCATTTATAAACAAATATTAATGCCTATGAATATTTATCAAAGGGACAAAAAGTTACGCCCCTTGATTCTAGTAGACAACAAAAAAATAATTTTTAATAAGTTTTTAAAAGAAAAATAAAATTAACTTTTTAAATATTAAAGCTGTGTACATGTCTAGATTTATTGATATTTTCTGATTTAGCTCTGCCCATCTGGATACTTCACCTGTAAATCAGGTTCGATGACATGCATTCAGAGAGTATTCCAATGTGACTGTTCATCCGACTGTGACGACGGAAGCGATGAAGACGCCACGTATGCCGGATGTACAAATATCGAGGAATGCCTGGCTAAGGGCAGCGCAGGTATGTATCGTCATGCCTCTACTTATACTTGAAATTATTGATTGCTTATTGTCAAACTGGATCGGCATATGCATATGCTTGAAATAATCTTTATTTTAAATATCAAATTTTTCATAAACTACATCTAGTTTTTGGTCCAATTTGCTTAGTACTGTGAATTCAGTAGTTTTCATGGGGATTAATTTTAGTTATTTTCGTGGTATGAAGAAATCCACGAATTTATGTACTTCACGAATTGTTGAATTTCATACATACAACAACTCAACACTTTTTCAACCACGAACTCAGGTCCCATGAATAATTTTTTTCCTCTAACCCCCCAAAAATAACCCCCTGAAAATGTGTATGTGATTCTACAGTATACACGGATCATATTATATATATATATATAGTAAGCATGTAACTAAACAGTGTAAATTTCATGAACAAGTGGACTTTTTTGGGCTATTACTGACATTATTCTCTCTTTTTCAGCCAACATTATGTCTTCACTACTGTTACTTCTGGTTAGTACCATCTTAGCCGTTGGTTTGGCAGTGTGAAATCAGAGAGACGTAAACATTTAGCAGGGGGAAATGATAAGAAGATAAACAGCATTTAACTTTTGTATTGCTTCTTTAAATTCTAATCAAATGAATACTCAGGAAATATTGTTGTAGTTTATTATAATAAAATTGTTTGTGATACTGGCGATTTTCAGTTTATTATAAAAGTGTCACACACACAGACGATAATAGATAGATAGATAGATAGATAATATATGATCCCACCATGATCTCGTCTTTAAACGTACTTTAGCATCATACTCTATTTAGCGGCATTACCGATTGGGGGGGGGGGGTCGAGAGGGAATACCACCCTGAATTTTTGCTAGTCATTGTACACTTCATTTTTTGGCACACGTTTGTGATTTATTAGGATTTTAATAATAAGCTTAATTGCTTTGAAAAAAAAATAGCCCACAGAGTCGGGATAAAATCCACCGATAATGCTGTCATTTAAAGGTCTTTATAAGTTTTTTTTTTGACCTCACAAGGCTTTATTTTCCTTTCATATCAAATTCCAGGTCTTTTTCATAACTGAAATGAACTTACATATTTCTCTTTTTTTTGTACATTGCTGGTTAATGACTTGTAAATAGGCGATAAATTCTCTGGTGTTTAGATTAAAAATTTCAATATTGATATAAATGAGATTTGGAATGATTACGAATTAACACTTGCTTTTGTGATGGTCTTAAATCTAACATTTCTATATACATGTAACGAAATGTGGAACACGAACAGTTTAGGATTATATGAAAGTGTATAGGCATTACAATTTAATTTTAACGCTCATCAATATAGTGAGTAATATATGTCAATTAGATTTCCAAAGCTATTTATATACTTAAGTATTATAAATAAATCAGAACAATAAAAGAAAGGATTGTTTTTATTTTTAATATAATTATTATACAAATTTTGCTTTTTCGAGAGGTCCATCCATAGCTTTGTTTCATAGAAAAGCTTAACGATGGAGCACGAAAAGTCCTTTGCCCTTGTTTTCGATTCGTATTGTTTCTAAAATGTATGAGTTTGATCACTGCTCGTTCATGAAATTTCTTTTACCGCCTGCAGCGAAGTTGGGGATTGGGGTACTGGAATCACATGCGCAACGTACAGTGTTTGTCCGAATTGGGAAAGTAAATTGGACAAGGACATAGATTTCAACAGTGAGAAAGTTCTTTTCGTGGTCATAGCTTTGAAGCAGGAAAAAAGTAAAAGATAACACTATTCAAAGAGGTTGTTTATTAATTGTGAACAAAAGTTGTGAATGAAACCTTCAGGTATGTTTATGAAACTTTCCGAAGAACTGTTTTAAGAAAGTTCCTAAGAATAATCATAGGAACATTTTTGGATGACCTTAAGACAAACTTAGGCATGTAAATTAAATCTGGCATAATGTCGTCCTAAACGAAGACGTCTGAAATGAGTGTGAACTGATCACTTCTGATGAGACTGTAGCTCTACTGTTTTTACCCAAAGGCAGTGAAAAGTAGCATTTGGATTTGAAATTATGGCACCAACAATAAATAAAATAATGATCCTGGATTGAGTCTCTTTTTGTGTCAAGTTTAATTGCAATTGAATAAAAAATATAGTAGTAGAAATCTTTTGAAAGAAAGAACCGAAATTTCGATTTTAAGTTACCAAGACAACACCTTTTGTTAAAATCAAAAACATATACAGGGTTATACGCCTTTGTGAAATCTACCTGTATACCAAACTTTATTGAAACCCAACGAAAACTGTAGGAGGGGTTACATTTTGAAAGAATTTTACAGAATACAATTTTTTTAGAAACCACGGCTACCCTGATCATCGAAATCAAAAACCGTGATAAAGAATTATGTATTTTAGTGTAGTCTACTTTGGACCCAGTTATATTGAAATCAGATTAAAATTTTAGGAGTATCGTTTTGAAAAGAATTTCACGGAAATTTATTTTTTAGTTACCATGACAACACCGTATTTCGATATTAACAAAAATGTATATAGAATATAGTATCTTAAACGAGTCTCTTTTTTTTGTATGTCATTATTTTAAAATCAGACTAAATGTGTAGAAGTAGCATATTGAAAAGAATCTGCAAGAAAATTCTATTCCTAGAAACCATGGCAACACCGTTCACAGAAATCAAAAACCCATAAAGAGTCATGTGACTTAGTGCAGTATACTTGTGTACCAAGTTATACTAAATTCCTAACTAAAACTGTAGGAGTAGTGGCTTTTTGAAAGAATTTCACAGAAATTTCTATTTTTAGTAACCATGGTAATACCATATATCGAACAGGAAACCAATATCCAGATTTATGTATCTTAGTGTAGTTCTACTTGCATACCAAGTTATATTGAAATCTGACAAAACTGTAGGAGGGGTAGCTTTTGAAAAAAAAAATGTTTATGGACAGCTAGACAGATGGCCGGGCGGACGATGGACACCTTACTATCGCATGAGCTCTTCTGGTCTCTGAAAAGCAGAGCTAACAATCACGAACATCCTGGAAAATTTAAGTTTTTATACTCTAAATTAATCCTTCACCTTTCTAGAATGTTTTTTTTTTGGGGGGGGGGGACGTTAGACCCTTGATATCTCTTAATATCATACCAAAGATGTAAATCATATAATGTTTGCTTTATTTTGAAAAAAAAATGATTGATTGATTGTATATTGTTTTACGTCCCATTCGAGAATTTTTCACTCATATAGAGACGTCACCATATACCGGTGAAGGGCTTCAAATTTTGACCTTTACTCGGCACTCAGGGCCATTGAGCAGTGAGGGATCTTTATCGTGCCAACGCCTGCCGTGACACGGGACCGCGGTTTTTAAGGTCCTATCCGAAGGACCCGCAACTTTCACGTCAGAGTGCCGAGCGCATGGCGAAGGAACAGTTGCTACCTATTTTTTTATCGACTTAGGTCTGTCGCGGCCGAGATTCGAACTCACGACCTCCCGATCACGGAGCGAGCGCTCTACCGACTGAGCTACCGTGAACGGTCGGAAAAAATTAAACATACGGATAAATAAATTTAAATAAAAGTGCGGACTTTTTGGAGCTCAAAAATTTCAACTTTTTACAATGGGTTTATCTGTACATCGCAAAACCTTATTTTCGCAAGAAAGTGTTTTGACTTTTATAAACGAAACAATTTTGAAAAGAAATTTTGGCTTATACTTTTGTATAATTATAAACTTGAAGCAAACAGACACGCGTGAGAATAAAATTCGATCTCGCGTAATTATGTCAAAATAAAGTTCGTGCAAAATAAAATATTATTCACAGTATGGTAATCAGTGTTAAAAATTATAGGATGTACACGTGCGTCCATATCACTACTACTGTTTCAATCTCATTGTCTAAGCTTAGTTGCTACAATGTTATTTCATTAGACAATAATCTTGAAAAAAAACTCTTTCACAATGAATGTTAAATCACAACATGTTACTATTCTGCATACAATCACTTTTTCTATCAATATTTGAAACATATTTTCATTTTTTGCTTCCTTTGGGGGGGGGGGGGGCTTAAAAATTTCACTACAAGTATCTTTTCAAAAATCGATACTTAAGATGCTAGATATGAAAAAGGGTGAAGATAACGAACAGTAATCGTTCAGGTGCCTAGGAAGAGTAAGCATCCCCTGTTGTCCGGTCATATCCGCCGGAAGCCCTATGTATTAATCAAGTGGACGGAACATTCCGTAGTCAATTTAAATTTAGTATAAAAACAAAGGTCTAACATTTGGAAGGAAACAAGTCAGCCAAAATATGACCAAGTGCTAGGTTAAATTTGCTAACAAGGTCATTATAACGGCCATAGAATTTACGGAATGCTGACTTTAAACGAGGATGCTGAAATCCCTGTAACAATCAATTTATGCGCGAGAAGCCTCCCTCGCTTTAAAAAACCAGAAGTCTCTGTCGAGACTGTAGCTCTACTGGTTTGTACTTATAACAAAGGAAGAGAATAGTAGTACTTGGACCTGACACTTTGCAACAGCAATAAACGAATAATAATCCTTGTTTTACTCTCTTTTTGTTGCAAGATGAATTGCAATCAGACTAAAACTGTAGAAAGAGTAGCCTTTTAAAAAAAATTTTGAGAAACTTTGATTCTAGTTACCATGGCAACATCATTCATCAAAATCAAAAAAAGTAAAGACTATTATGTATCTCAGTGTAGTCTACTTGCATGCCATGTTACTTTAAAATCAGATCAAACTGTAGGCGAAGTAATATTTTGTTTGTTGCTTAACGTCCATCTCGAGAATTTTTCACTCATATGCAGACGCCACCACTTGCCGGTGGAGAGCTGCAAATTTTGACTTATGCTAGGCACTCAGGGCCATAGAGCAGTAAGAGATCTTTTTGTGCCAGCACCTACTGCGACATGGGACCTTGGTTTATACGGTCTTTCTCATCCGAAGGACCGGTCTCCATGTCCCACAGTGGGATTCGAACCCACGATGTAAGGATCAATTCCTTACTCTGCGACTCTAGAGCAAACGTTCTACCACTGCGGCACGCGGGTGACAAGTAATGTTTTGAAAGTATGTCAAATAAATTTCAGCTTTTTGTAATCATGGCAACACTTCACCGAAATCAAAAACCGATACACAGAATTATGTATCTTAGTGTAGTGTACTTGTGTGCCAAGTTATATTGAAATCAGACCAAAACTGTAGGAGGAGTAGCATTTTGAAAGTATTTCACAGAAATTTCTATTTTTAGTAACCATGGCAACACCGTTCACCGAAATCAAAAACCGACATACAGAATAATGTATCTTTGTGTAGTCTACTTATGTGCCAATTTATATTGAAATCAGACCAAAACTATGAGGAGTAGCATTTTGAAAAATTGTTTACAGACAGACGGACGACGGACAACTTACTATCGCATAATCTCTTCTGGTCTCTGACCAGTAGAGCTAAAAACAGGTCGTACTTAGAGCATGCTCTTGAGTAGCGAATAAGTTGGGATGCATAAACACCATATGCAGGTTATAGCGGAATATCACTACATAAATAAAGAAAGCTGACGATGGAAAAGCTGAAGTCATCTTGTTAGTCATACAATTTAGTTGTTAGTTGGCCTTTGTCGTCTACAGTCAGTAAAACATCCAAATATGAAGCAGATGTGGCAGACTCTGCGGTGTCTTTTATTTCAAGTTCACAGAGATAAATCGAGTCGACATATAAATAGAAATAACTATCGTTAATTGATAAAACGTCGCTGATATATCTGAATGCCGAGTTGAAGGCCACGACAAGTGTTTTTTTTTTCTTTTCATGTAGCAGTTTTTGAATAAATTCTGTTTCATACGAATATAAAGAAAGGTCGGCTAATAAAGGAGCACAATTAGTGCCCATTAGATTTCCAACAGTTTGTTCGAAGACTTCCTCTCCGAAGACTACAAAAATGTTGTCAATGAGGAACTCCAGCATCTTTATAATATCAATTTCAGAGTACTTGTGTGTAGAATCGGAGTGATTTTTAGCAAAGCACTTTTGTTGATGACCTATCACAAGATGTGAAAATTTCTGAGTTCCGTTTTTATTGAAGAAGCAGTTGTGTATGATATCAAAAAGCCTAGTTTTTAATGTATTGTGAGGATCTGTTGTATTATGTGTAGAAAAGTCGTAAATCTTGATATTGTAGACTTTTGAAAAATTTTGTGATTTCAAATTTTCTTAAAGTTGTTTAGAGTATTTGAGGATCCACATCTGATTTACACCACCTCTAGAGTACGCTGTAGCACAGTACGTCTGAAGTTTCTCCTTAACAGCAGATAATAATTTGGTGAGGAGTAAAGAATGGGGCTTGGTTGGGCAGCAATATATCTTGTTTCTAAGGATTAGGAATCCAGTGTAGGTAGGGTAGATGAACTCACCTTGGTTGACTGGAATGTTAAAAGTATGAAACACTGAAATGTGATTTGAAGAATTTCATCCTTGGAAAGTGAACTACGAGTATTTGTAGGATCTCCAGACGTAGAATTAAAACCAAGTTCTTCCAAATTACAATTTTATTAATGAGCCTTACAAACAAAGGCGATATTGTTAACAGCCTTGTCTGCTAGAACCAAAACATATTGTTCATGTATTCTCTCTAATTCAGTTATCACCTCCGATTTAGTGAAAACGGAAGGATAAATGGTTTGCATTTTGCCTTTGAATTTTCGTATATGATTCTTTAATATATTTTTAAAACATTTAATCCATTCTAACAGTGTTCAGGTTTTCTTTTTCATATTATTTCATCCCTTGGCATAATCTTCGACAGAATTCATAATAGAAATAAAGTTCTGTTGCCAATTGAAAGATAGAGGCTCGCTGTTTTAGAACGTTTACGATGATTGACGTTGGGTCTTCACTTTCAACTATATTTACATTACCAGTAAAGACGGGTAGAGTCAGAATTGTCTTCAGACACACGTGGGGGCTAAAGGAGCCTCTGCTGGGCAACATCCATAGAAACAAAAACTAGCTTGCATTCTGCAATTTCAAAGAAACCGAATACAGTGCAACTGTGATGAAGACATGATTTTTTATTGACGTAAGATAAAAGTGAACTAAAAGAGATATCCATGTACATATGTAAGTGGTTTATTGTATGATCGATGCCATTAACTACGCTTACGTCTAGGTGTATTGTGAAAAAGTCCCATCAAAATTACGTTGGCACATTGTGGGCTTGAAAGATTCTCTACATTTATCTAGTCGTTGCAAACCTACGGAAAGACCTTGCATAGTTCTCTGATACAGTATTCTTCTCGTTGTCTACGGAAAGCAGCACTAAAAGTTAAGACTGTTAGTTTGATGATATATTTTTCCCCCAAAACTCTAACGCCAGTCGTTTTATATGTGACATATGTCATTTTTCTCATGCTTTGAGTTGTTTGATAAAGGAAATAATCATTATAATTCGAAAACTTATTTCAATGTTTATTACATGAAATGCTATTTTAGGGTATGTTTATGTGAATACCTTAATCTACAAGAATGTAATATATGGGATACCTTTTCCTTTCAATCCCTGCACAGTCCCTCTGTGTAAATGGCCATCCTCCCATCTGGCTCTGACTCGTTCTCCAATTGTCTGAAAACAAAAATGAATATCATCAAGATATACCTCATAGAAGTACATTGATATTGTTTGTTGAATAATTTCCTCTTTGAATTCATTCCCTCTTTCCTTTCATTTAAAATGAATTTCTCTCATGTAACTTTAGCCCTGCTGCTCTTTAAAGACAATTTTTAAAAATGGTCTTCAGAGAACATTATTCCAAAATATTCTAATGTTAAACACTTGATCAATTATTGTGGCCCCACCATATACTCAGGGGCAATGTTTCAAGCTCCTCAGAATCTATGTATTATCAGGAAATATCCATATGGTTTTTTTTCAGTTGTAGTGGTTTTCCTATTTATTCTGATGTAATAATTTGAGCACCCATTCTTGCCTCACCCAACCCCCGGGAGCCATTATTTGACTTAAAATCAAAATTTTGCTGGAAGCTTGCAACATGTTTCATCTTTTTCTTGTCTGATGGTTTTTGAAATATTTTTTTTAAATTTAAGATGTTTTTCTATATATACCACTGTACAACTTTGATTCCCAGTTGTGTCCCTCCCTATCACGGGGATTTAAAAATTTAGAAATAACACCACCACAAAAACTCTTTCACTTAGTTAACCTTTTCTGGCCCAAGGTTTTTTACCCAGAGATATATTTTTAATGACCCCACCATTTTCCCTTTTTTTGATTATCTCCCCTAGAAAAGGGACGTTGCCTCTCATTTTACCCAATGATGCTGTGTAAAATAAATGGTGTAGTGGTTCGTAAGAAGACATAAACATGAAGGTAACAAATGAACAGACAGATACCAGACAAACAGTGAACAGGAATGCTCATCTGAGATTAAATTGGCATGGTTTGATCCTTCTAACATGAAGAACATGACAATGCTCATGGAGTTCAATGATAAATAAGATACTTACAAAGCGATACGCCTTTACTTCCTTCTTCCCTACGATATTGTCGTGCTAGTTTCCAAATCCAATATAATGCACCTTTACACCTTCCTTCCTCCCACCTTCCTTCTTTACGACTTTGGCCTTGTACCTTTGGAATGGATAAGATAATTATAAAAAAAAAATAATTAAGTTAAAAAAATCATACAAATAATATACAATGAAAATTCAAATTCAGTTTGATAATTTATGAAGTAGTTTAAGAAGAAATCTGATACACATCCTTTACCACATTGCTTAAAGAATCACTCAGATAAGCTAAATATGTGAAAATCAGTAAATCATCATTACCATTCTCCATCGTCTTGTGCCCAAACTGGCAATCCTGGCTGCAGATTAGAGAACTACAATGACAATAAATCCATTTTTAGAAATTCAGTTAGTTATGTAGTACATGTATTCAATGGAAGACAAAACACTAGGCCTGTGCTTAAACTAATGATACACACATATGTAAATTAGCTTTTGACGTTTTTGATTTCATATTGAGTATAAGAAACCATGTTTTAAAAACAATTATAGAGCAATTACAGAGGAAAGACCCCCCCCCCCCATTTTAGCTAAATTATTAGCATTATTTTACAAGTATGAAGATGTTCCAAGGCCAACCCCCTTCCCTAGTTCCCGTTGACACAGTCTTATTTCCCTTTGTTAATGTAAAGTAAATTTTTTTGTTGGCAAAAATATCAGGATGTACACCTCTTCCTGCATGTTTTTGATTGTCAAAGATTTTTCAATTAAGCATTTCCATTACATGCATCCTTCTCTTGATTGCTGCTATATGTCTCCAATGCATTATGTTTAACTCCCTTAAACCAAAATTTAAATAATTGCAAGTCTTGCTTTTCAATCTTACTGTTATTACTTCATTATTGGTGAAAAATCTGGCTCCATCAGTGCTTTCTTCCTCCTCTTCTTCTGCCACTAGTTGACATGCCTGTGAATCAAACTATTTGTGTAAATACTTTTAACACCCTACTTATTGCTACATTAATTTTTCCTTTGTTCCTTCAATATTGTGTAAAAATTTCAGTAAACTTTACTTCTGAACGTTTTTCCTCCAATCTGGAAAATGTATCCAGGAGAACTCTCTATCAAATAAAATGAATAAAAAAGTAAGAGATATTAAATTGCAAATAATAGGTAGAGTATGAGTTTTACTTAATATTTATTTTATTTTCATTGTGACATCTCAATCGTTAATTTCAAATTCAGTTGAAATCTAACTTTGATATCTTGAATACCATGGACTTGCAAAAGTGATTTAAGTTTCAAACAACTTGTTCTTAATGTATTTTTCCTTGGTATCCAAATAGTAGGATATTTTCTTTTTTCCATGCCCAACTGAGTATGATGCAATGAAATTTAACTGTGTATTTTTTAGATTACACTTTATGCTATGAGTTCTTCAATCATTTAGCCTCACTTTATAAAAAGTCCACATTTATAGAACAAATTTAAGTGTTACATGTACTTTTTATAAAATCTCTTATCAGTGAAAGTAATCTTTTTTTCTTTTTATAACATATTTATAATACACCACAATTCTCTGTCTATTGAATGAAAAATCACATACGTTTCTGTGTTCTGTTTCTTCTTAATTGGCACACTGTCTTCCCAGTATCCCTGCAGAGAGAAACACTTAAGCATTAAAGGAAAATCATCACTTCATGTAGTAAAAACAAATGGCACAGATGATATTTTATCTTCCTCTAGGACTTATAGTTACATTAAATATACAAATTATAGATCCATTTGAACATTTATAGTTAATGTTAATTGTGAATCATCGAAGTGCTGTATCATCAGAAAAGTGTGTTCTGGCTGGACGGTTTGTGTGTACTGAATGCTGGCGCTTAGTTCATGGAGTATCCAGATCAAGGTAAATTATTTTTTTTTTATTGTTTGTCTTTATAACAATACACCTGGGCTCCAAATTAATTGTTTGTGCTATTTAATATAACATTAGCATTAAAAAAGTAATTTGTTGAGACTGCTGAGTCACTTAGATGATATATCCCTGGTATTTGAAATATTAGGTTTTGAGAGAATGAACCAAAATCATTGGGATTTTATTGTTATACCTGCTTGTTAGTTTTAAGACTTGGAGATCATGGAAACTTAACATCAATTTCTTTCTTTAGATATTTTGAACAGAAGAAATCATCTTCACCCTCAGCAGATGGTAGAAAAGGGATGAAGTATGGCCACCAACGGTACTCCGAGTTGGCAAATTATTTGGAAAGTTTAGGCGGGAAACAAGGAGAGAAGCTCCCAGACAAACCGAAAATCACCCTTCCCACTTGCCTGACTCAGAAGAACACTTACGAGGAGTATGTTGCCAGCCACTCCAATCCATACTGTTTTAGGCATTTCCAGAGGGTCTGGAAGGAAAGGTTTCCAGACATGTGAGCATCAGAGGTAAGTTCCTTCAACATCTTGGTTAACTTATGTTGTGATTTTAAAAAATGTTCTTGCGAAAATATTCAAAATAATGTTGGATGAAATTATACAGTTAATGTATATCATTGAGGGAGTTGGAAAGATTCTAGTTCCCCAAGGCCAGGACTATTTCCTGAAACACAGCCTAGGGGAAATAGCCGGGGGGGGGGGGGCTCGAATCTTGCTAACTGTTTTATTATATCAATACAAAAGTTAAAAAAAGAGGATTCTGGATAACTGGGGATTAGTCCATCAACATATTATACAGATAGAAAAGTAAAATCTAGATTTAGAAGATTTTGGATAACCGGGAATTAGCTTCTGAAGCAGGGATTAGCTCATTTGAATAATGCATTGGTATTAGTCCATTTACAGCGAATTCAAGGGAAAACTCACATTCAGTAACCAAATTTTATACATAGTATTAGGTAGAAGTATTATCATAATAATGTTTACAAAATATTTCAGCAGTAAAAATAATGATGGCAAAAATGTTTGTATGATGATCACCAAGCAAAGGAATGATAACATAGTTTTTATCAATACTTTTATGGTCAGATTTACTTATGAATATCATCTATTTCAGAAAATCACCTTCACTGAGTGCAAACAATGTGCAATGATTCGCCAATTAAAGTCGCAACGACTGTCAAAGGAGCAGCTCCTCAAAGTTGAAGACCAAAAAGGGCACATTTGCTAGTGGCCAGGTACAATTTACTCATAATTTTAAAGATAACTTGAACTATTTTGTATATGTTAAATTTGAAACAGTTGGATATTTAAAAAATATTTTGTTTTGACCATGTACTAAGAAAAAGCATTTACAAAGTTAAATTATTAAATACTGAATTCTGAATTTTCTATTTTTCAATAATCTTTTGTTTTGTATACTGTACATAACATGGTTTAAGGAATGCGTCCCACCAAAACCAACATTCCTTGATAACAGATGCAATCAGATGAAGGAATACAAATTCTTATGAATTGATATGTTGTAGGATTGCCAGAGAGAAATATTACAAGCATTGTAAGAAGGCATTGGACTAGCCAGAAAAATATTTGTCGATGGTCATCGACATCATGGGCCAAGCTAAAACTAATCTCCCAAGATTCCCAACATACCATAAGGTAAACAGATTCCTATTCTTCGCTATCATTTTTATCTCCCCCTCTCCAAATAAAGATGTTATTTGTTTGAATTACCTTTTTATTTGAGCTCAGAGGGGGATAGGAACGGGGATAATAAAGAAATCATCATCTTCCTTGATGAGTTTTCATAAAATACAGCTATCAAAGACATTACAAATATATATATCTAAAATCTAAAACTAAATAGGTATAAACCCAAGCAAACAGTAGCATTAAGAATTATTCTTCTGTGCAGGGAGATGCCACCCTGACCTGTGACTGGTGTCCTAGCTCATGGACAGAAAGCAGCGAATGTCTTCACATGGACAGATAAGTTTGCTTGCGTCAGCAACATTACCATAAACTGCTTGCCGAAGGTTCTTGAGGATGTTTCTACGGTATGTGAACAGAAATCTCTTTACCCAAAGAAATGTATACTGGCTCTGATGAGCATTACAATTTTGAAACAGGAAATAATTAACCAAAATTAGTTGGAGTTAATTAGTTTATATTGACAATCATCAATTTAAAGTTATTCATTTTACTCCAATAAACATTTACATTGTCCTCCTCCAATACCAAAAGAAAATATTTATGCATTGACAAATTATGTCTCATTTCAGAACAAGTCACTTCCACTAACGTTGTACCTTCAAGCAGGCAACTCTGCGAAGGACAACAGGAATCATATCTTGATGGGATTCCTTGCAAACCTTGTGCAACGAGGCATATTTAAGAAGGTAAGAAACTAATTTATAGACCAAGTAAAATGACAAGTTATATCTTTTAATTTCATATTATGTTTTGAATCTAAAGGAAATAAAAATTGAATAACTGTTAGGTTAATACATTGAAAACAAGTTTCTAATAAACATGTTTTAATGTATACTAAGGTGTAAAATTGAAAAATATATATATCCTTTAAGCAGTCTGTAATTTTTAACTCAAAGTCTTAATTAATCAGTTGGTGGAAATGTAATTGCATCTACAAGTAAAATTGTTTTTCATTGTAGTATTTTGCACATCTTATGTCAGTATGAGAATAAGGTTCTGTCGTTGTCATTGTATATGCTTAAATTAGAAAAGAAAAGAATGTTTAAGGTTCTATCTAAATAGGTATATCAGTGTTACTTTTCTTTTACTTCCTTTCAGATCAAGTTTCTCATGGTGGGCCATACCCATGAAGATGTCGACCAGATGTTCTCCAGATTGTCTGTACATTTATCTAGGATGGCAGTACCAACTCTCTCAAGACTCCAGGAATTGGTGCAGGAAGCATACAGTCCTATACCAGTACACCACCTTGACAATCTTTGGGATTACAGGCAGCTGGGGATCCAGGCACCTGTCCATCTGAATGGCCACAGCACCCCCCACACTTTTAGATTTACAAAGGTCGAAGATGATGTCCAGATGTCGTATAAGGAATGGCCAATGAAGTCCACCACCTACCAATCGATTACAGTCAATGACCTGGCTAAGGCATTTGATGGTGAACCAGATCCCATTCAGCAAGTCACAGACAAAGGGGAGAGGGTGTTTCTTGCGATGGAAGAAGATTTGAGGAAATGGAGAGATGGTGGAAAGCTCAGTGATGGCCATGTGAGCTGGTGGCGGGAACACCTTCAAAGGGAAAGAAGATTTCCTATCCCAATGATCCCAAGGGCCAACTCCTTTGAACCTCATTTGAGAGTCCACGACAACACTGTTTCACTGCCTGCTATGGAGGTTCTAGACAACCACATTTCCAGTCTCAGGAAACAGTCACAGGTATGTTAGTTGTTTTTCGTTCTTATTATGTAGTTTGTTTGGGTATATGGATAATTCAGTTCTTACAACCAGCATTTAAGTATCATTGCAAGGTAATGATTAATTTTATCTAAAATGATTTCATTAAATTTAGAAGAGAGAGAGAAAATAACTTGCATAATTGGCTGAAATGCATCACACATTTTCTGCAGGCAAATGCTTCAGGCTTAATGAAGGAAAAATGAAGAGGCCAATTTTAATATGTTCAAGTAGAGCTGAATGAAAGAAATATCTTCATTTTTATTAATTTGTTTTTCTTATATTTGTAGATAAAAGTTGTGAAGAGACGAAGATGAAGATCAAGCGTTATCGTGCCATGAGGCTATGAGAGGCATGAGATTATGAACAATTAGCTCTGAGACAAGAAATGGCTTTCTTAAGATACTTATTTAAGAAAAACTTTGTTAAAATTTTTGTCAACTTTTGATTGAAAACTTTTTGAAAGTGAATTGAGGGTAGACTTTACTTTACCGGTCCCCAGATTCGCAAGATCCGCGCGCTCATTGCACTATGACGTAAGACTGACGTCACTCAACTGATTAGGGTTGGTTTTGCACATTTTTCGACTGGTTAGGGTTAGTCTTGCACTCACCTGAAAGATTAGGGTTAGTCCTTCCATAAGTTTTCAACTGATTAGGGTTAGTCTCGCATCCATCCGAGAGATTAGGGTTAGTCCTCGCACATGGGTTAGTCTAGCATCCTCATGGGAGATTTGGGTTAGTCCTCGCATACCATCCGAGAGATTAGGGTTAGTGTCTTGTTCTTTTAGATTAATTAAGAAATTCAGTTGCATCTGTATTTTTTGCAAGATCTTAATTCAGCTTCAACGACATCTCGTTGGTTTGTTTACATGAAAAAAAAATGGCTAAGTACAAAAGAAACGACACTAAGCATGCGCCGCACGCGCTCCGTTCACAATTATTTTGTGTCTCCTTTTCACTGAATAAACAATAGTTATTACTTTTTTCAGAGAACGAGGTTAAAAACTTCGTTTAAAAACGAAGTTTTAAACTAAACTTTTAACCGTAGAATTCGATTTTGGGGTCAAAAAGGCTTAAAACCTCATATTTTTAATTTTTTTCGATCGCTCACGCGATCTCATATATATTGAAGTCGCCTACGGCGACACTATATTTTAGGGCGTTTTTCTGGGGACCGGTAAAGTAAAGTCGTTCCTGAATTGATGTTAAATATTTTTGCACAAGTTGTTGAATATATCAATACATCTTTTGTATATATTTTATATATATTTAAGTGTATATTGAACATGCATTGATAAAGAGGAAAAAAGGGGGAAGGGTCTCCTTGAGATTTTCAGTCAATATGTTTAAGCAAAAACAGATGACCTTTGAGACCCCTTTCATTATTTTTTCAGGGCCTTTCTAAAATATAATTTGTATTGCTATGCAAGTCAAATATTTTTTAGTCAAATTTTCATTCTATGAATGAACTCCATCTCTTTTAAATTCCTAGATTTGTCATTGTTGAATTAAATCATTAACATTGGCTGGAAAGAGATCCGATGTAAATAGCCTATTTGTTTTCCTTGATCACAATGAATGGTAGAATTACATGATTATACTAAAAAGGCTAATGAATGTTCTGTATATTTTAATTTTTTAAATAATATAATTTTGTATGTCAGCTGAAGATCTAAAAATTTGTATTTTGAGAATAAAATCTACTTCGTTGCATTATACAACCTATTACATGTATACTGATTTAAGCCGGTTATAGCTACTGAAAGAAAAAATGATAACTTAGAATTATCAGCTCCTTCAAACATTATACATATGAACATGCAAATATTAATGTTTTCCACAAAAAAGTACATGCTTTTCAAGCATATTTTGAAGTTGCAAATATATGATAGATATGTGAGGAAAATGGCATGAAAATATTTCCAAGCTCGCCTGAGGCAAAAGCTCAAGTGAACTTTGCCGATTGAAGGGTGTTTAGCATCCCTTTGTTGTTTGTACACTTTTCAAATTCTTCTCAAGAATCATTTTGGCCAGTTTCAATCTTGCTTAAGGCTTCCTTAGGTGAGGGAGATTCAGGTTTGTTAAAAGCAAGGGTCGCACTCTTTTTCAAGGGAGGTAATTAAGAATTGGTGAAAAAAATGTCATCTTTTAAAAATCTCATCATGCCACCATGTATTGGGCCAGAAAATATGATACTTATACGTAAGCTTTATTAATAATGTAGGTTTAAGTTTGTTCAAATCATGACCCCCAGGAGTAGAGTGGGACAAGAATTGGCAATCAAAGTTATGCATGGGAATTTAAAGGATGAATCTTTAATTATCTTCTCAAGAACAACAAAGCCACAATTAGGCATATTTATGTAGAAGCTTTCTCAGGTAGTGTAGATTTAACAGCACAATTGGCATTTAAATTTAGGAAAAATCTTTTTAAAAACAAATAAGTCATGGTTAGTTATGCTCACATGGAAGCATCCTAGGGCAGTGTTAATTTATTTTTGTTCAAGTCAAGATTCCCTCCCCTAGGCCTGCCCCTTAGTCTTGGTGGGGAGGGGGCCATATATATTTAAACTTTTCAAAACTGCATTGATTTCTGCTTTTCTGCGACCAAAGTGAGCGATGTGGCCCATAGAGCTCTCATCATTAAAAGGCAAATATGCAAGGTCATTGTGGATCTACATTGTACATTTTTTAGAGCTATAACATTCCCTGGCATTCATGATATATTTGATTCAGATGCCTTTTTTCAAGAAATTGCTATCCAATGAGAATCCAGTATATAATTCCTATGACCTGTTCTCATTCATGTTTTGTAATAATTAACTGCAGACTCTAATGTGTCCCAACAGACATCCTAAAAAATGTTTTATCATTGTGATAAAAAGATGCATGACTCCAATTATTTGATTTGCAGATGCATCTGAAACCCCCCATGATATATAATATTCCTGAATTACACATAGTAGAGAACTCTTTATATTTCATTAAACATTCTGAATGAATTAGGACTGTTTTCCATTGTAGCTGACATAAACATTTTACTTTTGAATATATCATTTTTATAGGTGAATTTTATTGTCACTACCTTAAAAACTAAGAGTGAACATGATTTTTTTGTATTTTAAACTTTTGTTACAATTGTGCATCTGTGTTTGTTAAATATGTTACATGTGTCTCTGTGGTAATTTGAAATCAATTATATTCTATATAATATCATAAATATTAAAATTCAATGAAATAATTATGTGGTTGGTTATTTTTTAATTTCATTTAAATTGACTCAGATAATCTACAGGAGCATTATCTGTGTAAGTGATAGCAAACTAATTTTTTTTTCTTCAAAACCTCCAAATTGCAAGGGAATTTAATATAAATGTTAAAATTGCTGACTGCATTTAGTTAAGGCCATCTTTGAAAAATTGTTTGGTTGCTCTCTTAAGACCGACTGACTAAAAATGACCCAATTCAAACCTTTTTTTAACCGCCAGGAAGCAAAAAAATTGTTGCATTCTTGAAAATTTTAATGATTTTGAAAATTCAGCATTGATGTTGACGTTTTCTAGAGAAAAAAAACTTGTTCAACTACCTACTGACGCACATTTTTCATCATAAGTTTGGAGAAGGCAATCAAACATTATTTAAAGTTGGTCTAACCTAATTTGACTGCTCTAGATTAATGAAAAGCTCGATGCATAAAACTGCGGAAAAAAATCATACATTAAAATATGGTCCAGTAGTTTAAATTCGCTCATTCTTTTTCAGAGTTGAGCAGTTAATTAAGAGCTTTGTATTGATAAGTATCCTTAAGCCAATATTTGGATTTTATATGTCATAATTACATATTTATTTAGTAGAAATATAATTTTACCCTTTAGCAAGCATGAAAATACACTGTTTACATGTACTAAATATATAATGTATAAAAAAAGCTTTCTTCATTATTGTTTGCATTCAGTGGTATTTTACCCATATTAATATTCACAGCAACAAAACAAAATATTTTAGTTTATTCTCAATTTGTATATGCATAACTTTTTGTTCCGATCGGGTTCGAAATTCAGAAAATGGGGACATGTGGCTATGGTCAAGCTTGGACAGCATGAACTCATTGAACTGGGAATGATGAATCGTATAATTGTTGTTATGCTAGTGAAAGTAACTAAAAAAGTATCTGATTTGTGATTTTGCTATCTATACATTGAAACTCAGGGAAAAAATCAAACTTGTCTGGAACAAAGATAAATGAAATTTAGGCCAGGGGAAATTCGAACTGCTTTTTCGACACTGTCTTTTCAACTGTCAAATTAGTTATTTGTTTGTTAAAAGTAATTATATATAGTAAGTAAAGCTAAGAATAAAATAAACAGTTAATCATGTAATGGATTAAAACATATTGATCATAGTTGAAATTTCCGCTAGTCTTTATTTGCTTTATCATATACTAGAGATAGACAATAGTAATGGATAGTACAAGTTTGGCTTTCCAGAAAGCCTGAAATGTCATCTCTTTGGCTTCATTAATGTCACAGAATAAACAGTGGAATGTTGCATTATTTCCTCAGCTATTACAGGCAGTAGTATCGCTTTTGAAAACCAGAAGTCTCTGATGAGACTGTAGCTCTACTGGTCTGTACATATACATGTAACAAAGAAAAAGTAGCACTTGCATTTGAAACTTTGCAACATGCAGCAATAAATAGAATTATGTATCTTAATATAGTCTACTTGTGTGCCAAGTTCAATTGAAATCAAATAAAAAACTGTAGGAGGAGTAGCGTTTAAAAATTGAGATCAAATAAATACTGTAGGAGGAGTAGCGTTTTAACAGAAATTCACAGAAATTTCTATTTTTAGTAACCATGGCAACACCGTTCATCGAAATCAAAAAGCTCTGAATTATGTATCTTAGTGTAGTCTATTGTGTGCCAAGTTATTTTGAAATCAGACCAAAACTGTACGAGGAGTTTCGTTTTGAAGGAATTTCAAAGAAATTTCTATTTTTTTTAACCATGGCAACATCGTTCATCAAAAACCGATGCACTAAATTATGTATCTTAATAGAGTGTACTTGTATGCCAAATCATATTGAAATCAGACACAGACATAATGAAATCAGACCAAAACTGTGGGAGGAGTAGCATTTTAAAGGAATCTCAAAGAAATTTCTATATTTAGTAACCATGGCAGCACCGTTCATCGAAATAAAAAACCGATGCACTTAATTATGTATCTTAGTGTAGTCTACTTGTGTGATAAGTTATATTGAACTCAGACCAAAACTGTAGGAGGAGTAGCGTTTTAAAGGAATTTCACAGA